TTTTTTTTTTTTTTCATAATTGGCTTACCGAAGAACTGGATAAACCGTGTGTAAATCGAACTGGTTATCTTGTTTCGGTTCAGGTTCCTGAAAAATATGCTATTAACGGGACCAGTCCCAGGCCAGGTACCAACCTACTGCCTAGAGAGTGCCTAGCGATTTTTACAATACCAATTGAAACACATACTGAATTCACTTTGGGATGTTAGTGGGGGCAAGTTGTAGGTGTATTCTGTTTCACAAGTTAGATAATCTATTTTGGATGTTAGTGTAAACTTACATCTTCATCCTGTAAGTAGCTGTATGTACTGCTGCTGCAAGAGGCACTGCCTGTATCGGTCATGTCATCATGGTCACTACATCCATGAATATTTTCCTCTTCCAGATTCCAAATATATCGGCTCATAAAATAACTTGTATCATGTACGTCAGCTGAAGGTATGAATGCCGCCTGCGCCAGAAGAGAACAGTGAAGGTTATGAGATTGTAAAAAGTTAAGGCATCTTTGTATCGAGAAGTTCTTTTATAAATCTCTGTTTTTGTATAGTGCTTCTTCTTTTCTTCCTTCTTTCTCTGTAGTGTGTGTGTGTGTGTTTGTGTGCCAAGTAAAGGGGGGAGTAAAGTAGTTGAGATTTGAGACCTTTTGTCTTGAGAGCGTGTCCCAATTGATGTCCTTAAAGTAGGGATGTCGTTTAACCTGAAAGGAAAGTATTTTTTTTTAAAGGCTTTAATTTGAAGCATCAAAATTCAGTAACCTTATTACCTCACCAGCTCCTGTTGCACCTAGTCTCTGAACTGGATTTTCGCTGAGCAACCTGAAATGCAGCAGGATGTCTTTTCAGTCACACAGTTAAACTTCTTATCTGAATTCAGCAGCTAGTTCTTGACTCAATGACCGGAACATGAAAGAAAGACGAAGAATATAATATATACTGGCACGAAAATAACTACACATTAATGGAGTAAAAGAAGAATTTTCATCACGTGGCCGAGCGTAAGTATTACTTGTTAACAAGAATGGAATCATTCATTATTAATTTTTACCACCTCAGGAGTTGATAATGAACAGCCTCTCAATATTTGTAGTTTTCTTTAGATGCTAACACTCGTTTCTTTTAAGATATATTTTATGTAAAGTGCCAAACTTAATGATTTCAACATAGGCTTGGATGACTTGCATACGTTGCTGATATCCTTTTCAGGCAATGCAAAACCACCTGGAAGTTTGCTTTTAGTATTCACATACAACCTTAAAAGATGTTATTTGTAAAATCGAAATAAATGTTATTTGGAAAAAATTACCACCTGGAAGATCGGTTTTACTATTCACATACCACCTTAAAGATGTTATTTGAATAATAGAAACAAAGGTCAAAGGAAAATTACAGTTTTCAGAAACTTAAGAAGGTTTTTGTGTTCAATATATACCTCAGGAGTAGTTAGGCAATTATAAATGTCGAACTTGTTAAGGAGATCATAAGCTTCCAGGCAAATTACAATTTTCAGAAACTTACGAAGGTTTTTATGTTCAATATATACCTCAGGAGTTGTTAGGCAATTATAGATATCGAACTTACTTGTTAAGGAGATCATAAGCTTCCAGGCTCATTTCTTCTGGTACCTTGGGCCAGGGTATGTCTCTATTTATAATATTGTTGAAAATTTGCTGAAACAGAAAGAAGAGCTATCAGTACTGCCATTGACCTGTTGAGTCCTTAAAGAAGATAATTTTGAATTAACAAATATTTCGAGTTCAATAATTTTCCACTGCATTTTCATTAAGTGTCATCTTTTCAATACGGTAAAATCCTCTGATGCTCCAGGCTTGAACAAAAGCTGTTGATGGAAGTATATGTATGCAGGGGGTAGGTGAGTTGGTTGGTTGGGGGTGGGGGGAGGGGGCGGGGTGGGGGTGGTCCACATAGAGAATCCATCAGAGACAACCTCACTCCCCAACCCCGTAATAAGTAGATGATTGAAAAAAAAATAGCATGGAACAAACAACAGAACTTGCTTCCACCGTAATAACTAATACGTAACTGCCATATGAACCTCATTTAGCGACATTATACACGGAGTACATATCATCAGCTTAAGTTCCACACATTCAAAAGCTGGATGAAAAGACGATTCAGAAGATATTATTCTTCCCAAAGCAACTTTCATTCAAATATTTCCATTCCGCTGCCATCAAATCAGATACATCCCGAAATACAATCCTCGCCACCCCACCACCACCCCACACTCCAATTAAGTTTTCAGTAAAGGTTTAAATTCACATAAGGGCTGCAACAATTTCAACCACAAGTACATTCATCGACGTTCAATAATGAATGACAGTGGCATACCTGTGGATTTTCTGCATTAAAAGGTGGAATCCCCACTAGGAGCTCAAAAAGAATGACACCCACAGACCACCAATCAGCTGTTGCACCTACAGAAGAACATACAACGTGGTAAAAGACCTGAACAATATTTATTGCATAAAACAATGCCCTCATTGAGTAAAATGATAGATAGACTCCTGACCATGGCCCATGCCAAGAAGTATCTCTGGTGCCAGATAGTCAGGTGTGCCAACAACTGAATGTTTCTTCCTCTGTTCTCTCTTTTGGGACGAGTGCACTGAGCCTTTTGGTTTATCATCCCCAAGAACAGCAGATGGTCCGGATAAGTCATCAGTGCTATTTATAAGTCCAACCTTGGAGAGCCCAAAATCTGTTAACTGTAACGGTAGGAAACATAATAATATGTTGTAATAGAATATAAAAATCTACTGCATCATATTCTGAAAGTTAAAAAAATATCACAATAACAACTCATCATACACATAAATATTCATGAGGAAATATAGCTCTTTATAGCTGAATGGTACCTCAAAGTACTCAAAAGAATCTCACTGCCTACTGCATTCGAGAAATGCCACAATTTCTTTTGTGGAAATCATGATGTGATGCACATGATAATACTTGCTCATTTAAGAAGAATCACGTTGGTGTGAAAAAAGCTTGTGGAAAGACAATTCAAATATGGACAAAATATCGAATACATATATGCTATAGTTCGAACAAACTGAATATGGTGATATTGACAAACTCAACATTTAGTCTTGTTTCTTATATGGAAGTCATGTTATCTAACCCAGATATATATGTAGCATCAAACTAAATGTCATCACCAAATGCCTGTTTACACAGATACATTTTTATAGATTAACCTTGATGTGACCATCTGGGCCTATCAGCAGATTGTCTGGCTTCAAGTCCCTGTGAATAACATTCAAAGAGTGCAGGTACTCTAAAGCAAGTACCTGAAAGTAACAGATAAAGATATATCAGTCTTTTTTGAATATTTATCAAGTGTGGAAGCTCCAAGTTGAGTAGCAATTGAAGCCCTTACAACTTCTGCGATATATACACGTGCCATATCTTCCTCTAAGCAGCCTAGATTTTTCAGCAAGGAGAAAAGATCTCCTCCATTCAAATACTCCATTACCAAATAAAGATTTTCCCTACAAGTGAAAGAATAGAAAAATCGGACCTGTACATCGTTGGACAATGCATTAGTGAAGTAGTTTCACAAAGTTGTTACATTGACTCAAATAATAGTACAAGAAAAAAAAAATCCTCACCACAAAAGGATTGCGAACTGAGATCAAAATATCGCGTTCAGCTAAGATACTTTCCACTGCATTTTTGCGGATCATGTCTGCTTTCTTCAAAACCTGTAACGATTCTTCTAAAATCAGAATTGACAAATCAACTAATTAAAGAACATTCATACAAGCCTCGGTATCTGATAATTCATAAACCATTGAATCAAGTCAGACCTTAATTGCAAATAAGTCACCAGTTGACCTTTTTTTTGCCAGAAAAACTCGTCCAAAAGCACCTCTGCTTATAGGTTTAATTATTTCAAAGTCTTCAATGGATGTTCTATCCTTGGTGCATGGATTAATAGGGCTTGCACGCAAACTGCGAACTGTATCTTCTTCTGTTGAACTATCCTCATCAGCCATGGAACTTAGTAAATCTCCCTTTTCATCATCAATCTGTCCACACAGCAGCACATATTTTTCCCTGAGGAGTTTATAGTCAGAAAAATACAAGTCAAGTTGTAATTAAATCTGGGAACTGAAGAATAATAGGAAACACCAGCATGCTATTGAAAATGTATTGCTATAGTTCTTCTTAACTACAAAACTGAATCCACTTCATATACTACATGAGACCTTGTGCTCGTTTTTACATAAACATAGCATATTGGCATATTAAAAGATGCATATAGTATATATAGCGTATATTATGTATATATATGCTCGGGAGGTAACATTAACAACTTATGTTCCACATTGTTCTGTAATATTTTATCTTAATTTCTGGTTTCTTCACCAGCTTTCCCGAAATGGCCATAGTATGGCAAACCAGACCAGGCTTCCATATCCAAAAGTCAGTATAGAGAGAGTTAACAATCTATACATCCACAACATTTTGTAGGGAAATTAAATTATTTATTTATTACTTTTTGTTTTTTCCTTTTTCCGGTATTGTTAGCCTAGATCAAAACGTCATAGCTAGAAATTCATGACTAATAATGTTTGGAATCTTTGGGACAGGACCAAATCTCCATGTCCGGATGCTTCACGATCTTTAAGAAGATATAGCTTTCTAATATTTCAAAAAGGCCCGAGTTTAGGGAAAATTGTTACAGGTCTAGACCAGAAAATATGCAAACTCTATGCACGTGAGATAAAACTTAATAACACAATTCAAATTTAAAACTCACTGAATTAGCTTCTCTATGCGCCTCCCGAAAGTCTCAACAACAAGAGCATCCACCTTTCTATCATGAATAGCATATTTTAGGTCTTCCAATTTATCTATCATATATTCCAGTGTGCTGTACTCAGTCCTGTTAACATTTGTTACTGATCTGGCAAGCTCCAGCAGCTTACGTATCTGTCGTGCAAGTTCAGGCATACCAAATTAAACCAGAAGCAACTTACTTCAAAGAAACAAATAAAAGGTAATGCCATTTAGTAGCAAGAACATTGGAATGTAATTTTCTAATGTAATAGCAGGTTCTAAGTGAATCTCTGGCATACCTGCTGACAACTTTCTAATTCAGATAATGTTCTACGTCCACTCAGAAGAAGCTCTATCTGATTCATTCGCGGAGTTATTAAAGGTGAACGGGGTGTCAAGCTGCCAGCGGATGATTCTTTCTTGCAGTGATCAGGTGTTGGAGCTCGTGCTTCACAAGAAACATGAAACGAACTATGTAAATCATTCTCAATAAGGGATGCTTCAACCTCATTACCATAATTCATCTCCAAATCCTCTTTTACACTTGATGTAGGAGCTCTCACGATTTCAGGACTCCTAATCCCCATTTCCGAGCTTTTCGGAGTCCACGATTCAAGTATTTTTTCCAATGTATCAACGACTCTTTCAAGGCGTTCATTCACTGTTAAACCCTTCAAATCACATCTATCAGCAATCGTACAAATTCTTGAGTGCTGCTCTACATGAACTGTTGGTATTTCAACTTCACATATTCTGCATATCAGTGAATCCTCATATGCCATTTGGTGTTGGTCCCATGCTCCCCAAGTCATATTTTGTGTTGTCGAGAAGTCATCATCATGTCCCAGCTCACTGGCGGGATTATCAGGACTGTCTATTCCTTTTTGAGGTTTTAAGTCCTCCAATTTATCCTTAGAAGGAGTTTCAACAGATTCACGGCCTTTTCGATTCTTTTCAGCAGCACATGGAAGTTTCTTCCAGGAAGACATCTTAAAGCTTCCTGTAGATGAATCAACACTTGTTGCGGTGTTAACCTCTTCCATTACTTGGCTTTGCTTGTTATTCAGATTGCTTTCTTCCTTTTCTTGGACCTTATAATTTTTCCGCTCAATATTTTCTCTTGCACTCATTGATGACCCAAGAATACGCTCTGGGTACACACCTAGGTCGCTGAGCTGGTGCGAAGCCAGTATATGATCTTCTTCGTAACCATTTTCCTTTTGGAACTGAACAAGCCGAGTGCAACGCGTGAGGATAAATAGGAGGCGCGTGTGCACTTGCCTCAATGTACCCATTGGTAGCTCTTGGCGGCGGTCATCTAGATTCTGTACAATGCTTTCACACTTCATCCAGAACTCACCGGGTGACATCTTTGAGCACTGCCTGGCAATCACCAGCAAATCCTCCAGACACTCTTTCCAATCTGGATGATATTCTGAAGTCTTCTCGAGCACGCTCACCAGATCTCCAGCGAAAATGCCTAGGTCGGCATCGACTTCCTCTTTCATTTTATCAAATTTCGACCGTACCATCACCATAATTTCCTGCAAAAAGTAATGTCTACTCAAATTGTAAACGAGCCACCTCGGAAGAAATGAAAGAGCGCATAAGTTTTGTCACAAGCAGAAAAAGGAGACTACATGTGAAGTTAACATACTTCCGTGCGACCGATAGCTCGGGATTTCCAAAATGGAAGTGGCAGGACGCCTTTGGAATTGAGCTCATGAGAGAAACTTTTAACATCTGGCGCTCTTTTCTTGCGGCCACTAGTTAAACGAAGAAGAGCCTGGAAACGAGGGGACTGCATTTCCTTGGCTAAAGCTGCATTACAACCCTACAATAAGCACAAAGATATATAGCTAAGGTACCTATTTTACATTAGGTAACTTCAAAAAGAAAAAAAGGGGGAAAAAAGAAGCTCTGTAAAAGCTAAAAACTGGAACAAAAACAAGATAAGTGGAAACTGATTTACCTCTGACCCAGTCCTACTGGGTGAAAGAACTCTTAATGATTTGGATTGACCCCAATGAACCTTTTTACCTACAAATAGAAAAGGCTCCTTTAAGAATAGTATCATTCATCCAATTTACATATCCTATGACCAGTACGGATTTGTTTGATGTACGTTTTGATAAATATAACAAACTTAAAACTATAACTTCACCTGGATCTGATTCGAGATTTTTGGAAATAACACTTACAGCAGATACTCATAATATATCTACGAAATTACCAACGTTTTCTTCACCTAAATTCATGCCTATCCTCTAAAAGATATGGTTTCGAAACCTCCATCCCTCATTATAAGGGTCTCAGCCTAAACTGATGATTATTTCAGGATGAATATTTTTCACAATTAAAGCCAATGTACATCAAAGCTGAACTAATTTCAGCATGCACTGTAACCTGATCACGGGGGAGCCGGGGACGGAACCCCAATACACATCACATTAGCTGGCGACCAAATCCCAACACACATCACATTTATATTACACAGACAGATACAAGATAAAAATGAAAATAAATAGTGTGAGAAGATACAATTCCACCTTGATCGGCAGAGGTAGGAACGGATTGTTTAGAGACAATGGCCATCCTAGGCCTCGCATCTGGCCCATCATCCCGTCGATTATCCAAATTCTGTGAAATCTGAGCCTCGCCCGAGTAGTTGGCCTTCTGGAGGGGCAAGGGCGCCGAGCGCGTCCTGATTTGGTTGAGCCCCAACCTGGAGGGCTCGACGAAATCCAAATCGTCTCCTGGGAACTCGTCCTCGTCTGCGTGGGACCTATGCCTCATCGGTATGGGCGGAATTTTCCGAAGCTTCAGAATCGACGGCGACGACATGTTCTGGTGGTCGTAGGGGGAATCATCCGGTGGCGGATTTGGCGAGTCACGGCGGGGCTCGGACGACATTGTGGGCTTCTGTTCATCTGGTTCGCGATTGTTGTGGTTTTGTGTCGTTGGGGAAGAAGATGGAATGGATTGAGATAGTTTCGGATTTTGGATTTCGGGGGAGCTGAGAGAGAGAGAGAGAGAGAGAGAGAGAAGTTCGCGGGAAAAACGGTGCGTTGGGGAACGACGCGTACGTGTGTTCAAATCAGTTGGGATTTGTGAAAACGTGCTTCCCTCTACTAATTATTGTTGTTACCGAAAACGTTTGTCGCGAAAACGCGTGTTTTCTCAAGCCAGAAGCGATCTTTTTTTTTTTAATTTTTTTTTTTCGATTACAATAACATTAGCAATCTACTGAGCTACATGCCGAGACATTCCCAAAAACAAAAAATAAGAAAGACCGGAGACAATCCTTCCATAAGGAGGGTCCCGTCGACAACAAAGCCCGACTACCTAGATGATGAGCAACAAAATTTTGATTCTTGTCAATATGACTACAAGACCCACAATTGAAATCCGACAGAAGCGATAAAATGTCTGCAAAGACTTGAAACAAGGCATCGTTAGGCGAAAGCTCCGACAAACCACAAATAACGTATAAGGCATCTGTCTTAGCATATTGAAGCGATGGTTAGTTATGTTATTTCGATAAATATACAAATATATACAATATATATTTTTTTTAACAGTGAAGCCAAAAAAAACCGTACCCGGTTCCATTATCCGAGTCGGATCACAAAGCCCACCCACACGGCAAGATAAGAAAGGAGTAAAGGACCCTGGAGAATTAAAAATTGGAAGCCCTAATTTTGAGACGGTTTGCTCCCACATTCTCTCCGACCGATCAGCCTCCGGAGGCCGCCGAGAGTCCGGCCAAAGTACGTGTTTTATACTCACCGTCTTATCAATGTATTGAATATTTAACGGTATTTTGTTGTGTGCGCGCGCTTAGATTCGACCATATCTTGCGTATGCTGTGTTTTTTTCTTCTGCCTCCTGCGATATTCTCTTCTCTTTTCTTGTTAATTTTTCCTTTTAGAGTCGTTTGCTGTAGTTAAAGTTTTTTTTTGGTTTGAAGTGATTGTTTGTTGACTGTAGGCTTTGAGTGGATTTATGTAGTAGTTGAAGCAACCTTTGTTCAAGATTATTAGATTTTTAGCTGCTTTTTGTTTAGTTACTCGGAAATAATGGCGGGCCTAGTTTTCTTGTTGTGGCATAATGGGTGCTTGTAGATTGAACATATAGTGTAACAGAGAACTCGTCACTATTGTCGTTTGTTATCTTCGAAAACCGGTAAATGTTGTCGAATGTTATGTTGTAATCTAGAAAACTTTGAGACTTGGTGTTCTTTTAATGCATATTTTCCGAAGATCATTGTCGTTTTTATTGAGTTGCTGGCTGAAAATAATATATCTTGGTATTTTTTAAATAATAAAATTTCGAAAATAAAGGTGATGCTGATCCTTTATAACGTTCTCATTTTTTCTTTTTTTCTTTTTCAGTGTCAATAGAACATGGGTTGCTGGGTGATCAGTCACAAGCGACATTTTCGTTCACAGATGAAGATCATACTTTAGCAAATTCCTTGAGATACATTCTTAATCAAGAGTAAGTTCTACAAAGAAAGGTTGTTTTTAGTCAAATAATATATATATTCATTAGGTTATTAACTCGAATGTATCAAACTTTCTTTCAGCCCGAGAGTGACATTTTGTGGTTACAGCATACCGCACCCTTCTGATGCTCGGGTGAATGTAAGAGTGCAGACAACTGGTAAATACTATGAATTTCCTCGCTCATGCCTTATTTTCTTAGTAGTTGGTGCCAATATTTGTAAATAAAGGTGATAGATGTGTTGAAGTCGACCATTTGTTTAACCCGCGTGGAATTGAAGATGAACTTTCTTGTTCAAAACTCAATGCTTTGTTTTATTATACATGTTCATGTTATTCAGTATGTTGAAGCTGTAAACCCCATATTTACTTAGTTTTAATGTATCGACCAGTGTTTACTTCTTAGCATGTTTGGAGTTATTTGCACCTTTGTCGATAGAATGACTACCTTACTAAGCAATATTTCATTAAGAGTGAGTAATAAAAGCGTCTATTGGCGATTTTGTTTCTTTTAAAAAGATTGTCCTGTGCTTTCTGATTTTAGGTGACCCAGCACGAGAGGTATTGAAAGATTCGTGCCAGGATTTGATGCTTGTATGCCAGCATGTTAGAAATGCCGCTGATCAGGCTGTTATGTTGTTCAAGAGCAAGCAAGGTGTAGAGTCGATGGATATCAAATAATGTTTCACCTTTTGTACCATCTATTTATAAAAGTTAATTTGGGACTGAATTTGAGGACTGGATCCATTTGTGACCACCATATTGCCAAACTCGGCTTCTTCATCTCATATTGGTTGCTATGCAATATTGAGTTAGTAGCAAATATTATGGATGACCATCAAATATTTGGACGATAAAATGACATTTGTGTCACTGAAGATAAATGACATCTGTAAAAATGATGTTCAACGACGATGGCTAAATATAAAACCGACATTTGTATCACAAAAGGATGATCAAACTAAGACGTATTTGTGGAGTATGGAATTACATTCAGGTTTACACAAAATCTGAAGATAAAAACCAAACAGATCTAACATGTGGTTGAATACAGTACAAGTTGTATTATCAGTCGAGAGTAAGTCGTAAGTCGTATCATCAGTTGAGAGTATTGGTAACACCCTATGTATAAATGCCTAGCATATTCATTCTGCACGAGTTATCCATCTAAATAGATTCTATAGTTAGCAGCTTCCATCTCAGTCAGAGTCCAATACAATCCCAAATTTGCCACCTGAAGGACCCTACAAAGTGTGAGAAAACAAATATGGACTTCATAAGAAATACATCAGAACCGAATGCAAGCTATAATCTGCACAACATGGAATAGCAGCTTTACAGTCGGCACTCTTGTCATTCTTACGAGAATAGAAGATAATGGACTAAACAAAACTAATCGAGACCAAAGTTGTTCCTCTTTTGTCTGATCTGGAGAAAGCAATGGAGTTCAAAGTAAAGATTCCAAGGTTGCGAATATTCGCAACCAGAATGGGGATTCTAGAAAGTACCTTCAGTCAAGTACTGCGAATGGCATCATTACATAAGACGGCCAAGATAGTTAGCCCGAGGATATTTGCTCTTTAGCTGTGGCCATTGCACAAATAACTGGTCAGCCATATGCAGTTTGTAGAGAAGCAATCCACTCAAAGATAGCCTCCTAACTCTGGCTATGCTCTCGACATAGAAGATGGATGACCACCTGACCCCAAGAACCTAGAACGTGCATTCCAACTCGAACGATTAAAAACTTACTCGCGAAAAATAAACAATATCCTCATCAAACATGTTGATGTAATCTCAAACCTTAAAAATGAACGCGATCATGCAGAGCGGTATACAAGTCCCGGGGCCATTGCATAAAATCTGCATATACACAAAATTGTAGTAAACTGTAAAAGTGAAAGAATAACAAAAAATTCAAAAAATAATCAAGAAAAAAAAAAAAACCACAAGGAGTACCACTTGAGGCCTGATCTTGATCATGAGCCACAGTGCGTGTGTCAAAGCAATTAACGTTGTGCCAACCGAGGTCACATACGACTGTCCCACTTCACGACTCCGGTAAATTTGCATGAAGTGAGAATCCCCCGTCTGTCGCAACAAACGAATTACCTCAGATGACATTTGGCATTGTGAGGAAATAAATGTAAGAACGCAATCTTCGTAAAATTCCAGACAGACTGTTTTTATTTTTCACTCATTTATTTTTGACAAAACTTCAAGGTCCCTCATAGCAGATATTACATTACTATTCCTAAAATGTAAAATATGGGACCTTAAAGAAAATAATTTTACCTTGTCCATCAAAGAATCCTCCAGCACACGAGCCTTTTGAAGACTCATACTATCAGTGGCAGCAGCTACATAATATCTCGGCTTAAACCTCTCCATTTGCATAGCATTCAGCAGATTCAGCATCTCCGCCGTGTGGCCGCCTGACAAGCATCAGACGACACGAAATTTACAATTAAATAGAAAAAGAAAAACGAAAGCAAAACCGAAAACACCACAAGATATCACATAATTGAGATCGTGGAAAACAATGGGCTACAAATTTCAGCACTAATTGAAAATAGAAAAGGGGGAATTTCTGCTAACCGGATCCCAACACGATCAGAGTACTCAGAGGCGGTGGCGGTTTTCCAGACCTGGGTTTACCGGTACGGTATACAACGTACGAAATTCGGATCAAAATCAAGGTAATTGTACCAATAATTAGCAAAATTGCGACGCCCATTTCAAAAAGAAGGCAGCTAGGTTTGCTATTCGATGCCAGAATCTTGCAGCCCGCCAGTAAGAAGGTACGTATTTCTTGAAGAGCTCGGAAGATATACTCCTCGGTAGAGGCTTGGCAGCGGCACCCTCTTTGCCGGCGGAGGAGGATCGGCGATGCGGAGTGGAAAGGGATCGATAAAAGCGAGCCTTTGTCTTATAAAGTTCGCGCTTTCAGTTTACAACTACAATTTCCACATATCAAATCTATTACTAAAAAGGATGTGATTGCCATTCTGGCTTATCCCATTATTTGTCCAAATCCAATTACGAGCCCTAAGCAAGAAAACTATATACATCCCAAGTTGATATATCATAAAAGCAAAGACTGAATTCTCCCTATATATAATTCCCGAATGCGCTGAGCCTACGTGGCTACTTTTGGTGCTTCAGAATCCTATTTGGCGAAGAATCATGTTTGGTAATTAGATTTGGATAAATAATATTGATATATTAATAATTAATAATCTAGGTTCGGGTATTCCATAAATATTATTTAGCTATTTTAATATCACTTTTATTAATATAACCCTTTAATTCTTTGTAATTTTACATAGTGAGACACTAAGGGACTAATATGTCCCTGAACTTTGATTTGTTTCCTTCAATGAGCTATTGAATTAAAAATGTATTTTAAAAATTGATAACTTTTGTATTTCTTATCGTCTTTACATATATAATATATCAAATTAATCATCTTTTGATGATCTTCGATTTGACATCTATAATGTATATATGAAATAAATAAATTAAATCTTTCTTTATAATAATAAAAAATAATAATATTTATTAAAATTCATTAGAAAAATAAAATTGTTTCTCCATTGATATATTTAGGCAAAATTGCATCAAAATACACCACCTTTTAACTTTTTGCAATTTAATCACCACCTTTCAAAGTTTGCAACTAAGTACACCAGCTTTAGACATTTGGCAAATCGAAGCATGCCAAACAGAAACCGGCACCGGCTTTCTTACGTGGCAATGTCGGAAACTCACGTTGAAATCAGAAACACACGTGGAAGTCCAAAAATACTAAACAAAAAATTAAAATGCCACAAAATCAGTCTACTTGGCAGACTTATTAAAATAAAATCAAAATTAACTAGCTACTCAGCCCTAAATTCAAAATCAGTCAAACAACTATGAACTCTCAATTGAAAAAATGTCGATCAATTCCAAATGTTCTCTTGTGGCCAAAATAACTCACCTTCAAAATAATCTACAGAACCATCAAGATTGATAAATCTCCCCCACGGTTCAAATTGTTCGACAATTTTACAATTTAGGGTTCTTAGTTGTTCGACTGATTTTGAATTTAGGGCTGAGGAGCTACTTAGTTTTGATTTTATTTTAGCAAATATGCCAGATAGATTGATTTTGTGACATTTTAGTTTTTTTTTTGTTATTTTTGGACTTCCACGTGTCTTTTCGATTTCTACGTGAGTTTCCGAGGATACCACGTAAGAAAGCAGGTGCCGGTTTCCGTTTGACATGCTTCGATTTGCCAAATGTCTAAAGCTGGTGTACTTAGTTCCAAACTTTGAAAGGTGGTGATTAAATTGCAAAAAGTTAGAAGGTGGTGCATTTTGATGCAGTTTTGCCATATATTTATATGTAATGTAGTTATATATTGTAAGTTAAAAAAATTAATATAATATAACACAAGTAAGTTGCACAAATAAAAAGTGTCATAATAAATATATAATAATATATATATTCTTATAAAAGGTATTTAAATTTTCAAACTACTTTTTCTCATTAATTTTAGATTTTAAGAAAAAAATTAGCAAGCACCCGTGTAATACACGGGTGTTGTACTAGTTTGTAAGATTTCGAAATGGTTTGAGGAAAAATGAGAAACTTCAATCGAAAAAAATTGTGGAAAATAAGCAGGTATGAAAAATTAATGGACTGGGGAGATACACGTAATTAAACTAGCACTTCATATCATCTCTCGTATTTTTTTATCAAATTAATTTTAATTATTTTATTATAACTGTTATTTTAATATATTTCTAAAATGCCACAAAAAAACTAATTGTAACGTTTCGAATATTTTTAGTATTTTTGAGCTCGACGTTAGTTCATTTCATAGTAGGTTTTATTTATTTCAAGTCTTATTTTATTTATTTGATATATCATATATTTAATTATTATTATTATTTGAATTAAATTGAATAATAAATTTTAAGTCAAAATCGTGGATGATCTAGCCAAGCATCGGTTTCATTTTTAATTTGAACCGGGTTATATAGTTGGCAAGAAAAGGAGAACAAGTTAGAATCGCAGGTTACACGCTTTAAGAAATACACATATTTTCACCAGTAAACGTGCTCAAGTGGCCGGTGAAAACTTAAAGCCCCCACACCACACCACACCACACCACAACACACCTTGATCCACCGGAAAAACTGAAGACTGACGCACATCAGCTGATCGGCAAAATGATGGTGGATTTGAGCTCGTTCTCAGAGGAGAAATTCGACCCGAAGAAATGGATAAACGGGGCGGTCCAGCAGAGGCACCCGCAGGACCCGATCGATAAGCACCTCGTGGATCTCGAGATGAAGCTGCAGATGGCGTCGGAGGAGATTGCAGCCTCACTCGAAGAGCACAGCTCCGCCGCCCTCCTCCGCGTTCCGCGCGCCTCCCGCGACGTTCTCCGCCTCCGCGATGATGCGCTTTCTCTCAGGTCTTCAGTCGCCAACATCTTGTCGTTTCTCAAGAAGGTAATCGTGCTCCTACAGTGGCTTGTTGATCATTGTTGCATTTTTACTGAAGCCGTTGGTTCTCTGTAGTGTAGCTCGACTTAGTTGGGAGATCCTTCGAGTGGTGATTTTGTTTGAATTTTGCAAATGTTGGATTGGGCGAACGTGATGTAATTTTGAATTGGGGAACGATAAAGTTGTTTCAGGTGTCCGTATAAGAGATGAATTTACATGCATTGATATTTTCTGGTGGTTTTTGTTTCTATGATTCCAGTGAGAATGAATGTGACAGGGTTTAAGAACCTGGTTTTGGACCTTCAGTCTGATATTTATTGAATTTGAGGCAGACCAGTTGACTAAAATATGGAAATAATATCTTGTTAAGAATTAAACAGATCGAAGATTACTTCTCCTTGGGTCTACCACCAACGATGGATCCTTCTGAAACTTGCTTTGTTTTTCTCTTTTACAATTTAAATCTATAATCTGCGCGTGGAATGCTAGAACCTTTGTGTTTGTGGATTGGAATTTAACTGAATCAAGAGTAAGTTAGGTCCATGTAAGATTTGAATAACAATATCAGAGATAGGTGCAGGGTAATAGTCAATGGAATGAACTGAAGATACCATATCAAGTTTGTGAGCAGAACGGAGCTTGTCTATTGACTTGGAATATAGTGCTATTTGTCTAGTATGTACATTATATTTTAGTCTGAAGTTTTGAGTTGAATTGTGTTGCACAATGTGTGAGAAACCTGTCAATACTCCAATGTCCTCTTGGTGTTTGATATGGTCTTGAATCTGTTCTGCAGGCTGAGGGTTCCTCTGCAGAATCAATCGCAACCCTAGCTAAAGTTGACACTGTTAAGCGGAGGATGGAAGCTGCTTATGAGACGTTACAGGTTGGATGACGATTTTGATTTTTTTCAATTGAACTCAGCTTTCTTGAATTGGTTTCTGTTCCTTGTTGGTAAGTGAAAGTTGCTTCTGCTGTTGAACAGGATGCTGCCGGGCTGACGCAGCTAAGCTCAACAGTTGAGGATGTATTTGCCAGTGGTGATCTCCCACGGGCTGCAGAAACTCTGGCTAACATGAGACACTGTCTAACGGCTGTTGGGGAGGTATATCTTTCTCAGCATTTTCTCAGCCTTTCCGTATTGCAGATGAGATATGGAAACGTTTCATGATTGATGAATTTGGGATGACCAGGTGGCAGAATTTGCTAATATAAGGAAACAGCTTGAAGTTTTAGAAGATAGACTGGATTCAATGGTTCAGCCACGCCTTACGGATGCATTAACTAACAAAAAGGTAGTACCCATCATCATATCATTGTAAGAACTCTAAATTCCTGGTTCTTGCTGACGGAAAATTGGTATCATTTCTTCACTTTTATAGGTTAATATTGCTCAAGAAATGCGGGGAATCCTCATTCGAATTGGGAGATTCAAGTCTTTAGAGAGTTACTACACAAAAGTCCACCTCAAACACATAAGGAAGCTGTGGGAAGATTTTGACTCTGGGCAACAACCTAATAAAATTTCAAGTGAAAGGAATGAGGTAGACAGGGGCTCAAGTACCTTCGATTCACACTCAAGTTCCTCAAATCTGTCATTCTCGCGCTGGTTGCCAAGTTTTTATGATGAGTTGCTGCTTTATCTGGAACAAGAATGGAAGTGGTACTATGCCCATATAAATTTTACCCATGTTTTCACTTTTATTTCTGAATGAGGTGCTGCTCTTGTCTTCCTGACTGGACACATGGTGTAGCTAGAATACCTGTTTCATTATCAGTCAGTACATGATGTTGATCGTCTACTGCAACTTGAATCAACATTTGAAATGCAGAATCTTTTAAAGTATATCATGTTTTGCTCTTCTTTGTGGTTCTGATGCATCCAATAATGCAATAATACTGTTTCCCAGGTCACTGATTTTATTTCAAGGCTCCTAACCCGTGAGTACTAAAGTGACCCAGCAAAGGAAGTCTAAATACACCACACTTGCATCCTAGACTTTGACGATTTTGATTTGAGTTGTTTAGAATAGTTTAAAGAAGGTAGATTAAAACGAAATAACTTGAAGAAGTTGGATATTCTAACAACTTAAAATTCTTGCGAGTCAAGTCTAAGTAACTACGTTTTCCATCAAAAGGTAGATATAAGCAGGATAAGGTGATGAATCCATGTCCACCGTTCATATTTTACAATTTCAATATAAAGTTGGTTGTTTAGACTGTCGTAAATGGGATGATCCTGAATTCGACAAGGTCAGACCAGATTTTATTGTTTTCTTTCATGCCAAGGGTGAATTGTTGTGAGGATATATTTCAAGGTCAATTTTCTCCTAATTTGGGATCTTTAGGATCAGTGGGGTCCTACTCCTATGGTTGTCATGGGTATATAACTTGGTTAAATTCGGTATCATGAAATGCTAGAAGCTGGTAGGGAAGTGCTTAAATTTGATTAAGTTTGTCTTGGCAATTGGTCAGATCCTAATCGATGTGATCTATATGTGCATTGCCTAGAATGCAACTCAAAATTCTTTTGCCTGTGACCTTCGTGCACAATAATGATCTCATGATAGTGAGGGCTACAGGTTTAAACTTGTGAAATTTGCATTTATCAGCTACCTTATAATTTATTTAGTTCTTATTCTGTTGGCTGTTGATTGGAAATATACAGAGCAATTATGCTGATGTAAGTCTTCATTCTCATAAAAATTCCACTTCAGGTGCATGGTTGGTTTCCCTGAAGATTACAAAACTCTTGTCTCGAAATTGTTGGTTGAGATGATGTCATCCATTAGTGCAAGTTATATATCTCGTGTTAATCTTGCTACTGGAGTCGCTGTTCCGGAGACTAAAGCATTGGGGAAAGGTGACACTTCAAATTCTTTCATTTTTTATTCTAACAATTTTATATCATTTCAACTATGGGATTTCAAAAGTTGGTTTGCATGTTTAGATGTGTTTGTGTTAGGTATTCCAAATGACTTGTTCTCCTCACTAATTACTAATAAGTTGTTTGAAATGTGTAACTCATTAGCAAGTTCCAAGCTATTGCCTTTAGAGTTGACCAATTCTAATTACAAAGTGTGTTTCCATATTTTGGCTATTTTTTTTATTCTGCATCTGTTATGACACGTCACCTTTCTACAAATGCAAAAATAATAAAGTGGATTTCAATTGCAATGTGTCGCGTGAAGCTTGATAATATTGTTGGATTAATCGTAGAGAATGAAGTATTCCTCATGCGACTTTCGGTCCTACTATTATGAAAGATGGTTGTTGTCTTACTTGAAGCTGCCTCAAACTTTAGTTAAGTGTCTATATCACTTTGGTGAAGCAGATATTGTTTACATCACATGCCATACTTCCAACATAATGGTTGTTACGAAGGGTTTTTGGACAAATGATTGATTCACATATGAAGATGCCTATATATATATATATATACTTAAGGCCTTTAGTATATATGGCCTATAATATAGTTAACACCCCTTGAAACTCAAGGTGGAGGCGGAGGATTAGAAGCATTAAATTTGAGCAAGTGAAGTCGATGCTGCTCTCTAGTTTGTGGTTTTGTGAAAAAATCAGTTACTTGCGGTTGTCGCACATCACATCACATACTGAAGAATAATTTTTTTCTGATGACAATGAGACCGGTAAAGGAAGCATCACCACCATTGTGTTTTGTAAGTTCGTGCTTCAAAAGATCATTAACAATTTGGATGGCGCCAGTATTATAACAAACCTCTACAAACAAGAGGTGTAGGAGAATCACATGGAATACTAAAATCAACTAACAACCACTGAAGCCATATAAATCCTGAGGTGGTATTAGCAAGTGCTCGAAGTTCTACATCTGTGCTAGGCTGAAAAACATTTGCCTGCTTCTTGTGCTTCTTGGACTTCCATGTAAGAGAAGAAGAGCGAAGAAAAACGCAATAACAAGTGACAAAAGGACAATATGTTGGATTACTCGCCCCAAGTAGAGTTTGAGTAAGCATGGATCTGAAACGGACTATCACGAGCATATAATGAACTGAACATTGAGATGATGTTCCCTTGAGTACCGTAGCACACGAAGCAAATGCCCAAATTTCACAAAGTAGGAGCACTCACAAACTGACTCAATATATGAATAGTGTAAGCAATATCAGGCTAGTAACACTAAGGTAAACGAGATTGCGTCAATATGTCGATAGCAATAGGGATCCTCAAGAGTGCCCTCAAAAGTCAATTGACAAAAGTTAGATAAATACTCACCACCAAAATCAGAACGAAAGACTCAAATAGGAGTAGAAGACTGATTATGAACCATACGAGTAAAAAATTTGTAAATAGACATAATTAGGAACATGCTTCATAAAATAAATCCAAGTATAATGAGAATGACCATTAATAAAAATATCATAAAATTTGTTGCAACCTTTTGTAGGAAAAAGGAAGGCACCTCACACATCAGAATGGATAATGAATAAGATCAAAATAATGAATAAGATCAAAAGGTGTAGAAGAATGAGAAATGCTAATAGAATATGGAAGTTACAGCTTTTTTCGAGCTTGCAACCTTTACAATGAAAACTAGACTCAATAGATGTACAACCTAAACAAAATTACTAATCAAAGGAGACAAACGAGACACAGATGAACAAGACGATGATGCCATTTGGCTTTGGCATAGGATGAGGTGGAAGATGAAGCAAAGCAACGAAGGACACACTAGCGGTAGATACTGCGGAAGAGGGAAGGTGCAAAATGTACAAAACGTAGAGACTCAGAGAACCTCTACGGCGATGACTAGTCCCAATCACAGTCCGACTTCGACAATCCTAAATAAAACAAGATGGTCATTAAATGCAACAAAACAATTTTCATCAGTGACATTACAATAGCTACATTACAATTGGAAGAAGATTTATGGATAACTTAGGAACATAAGAGATATTAGGCACTGAAAAACATGAGTTGCATAGAGAACCCTCATGAGTGACATGACAAGAAGTGTCATCAGCTGTCTGAATAGAAGTACCATAAGCGATCGCCTTGCAAGCAACCAACTAGCAAGCAACCAACTAGGGGCTGATCAAATGTCACATGAAAATATGCCCCTAAATCGAGGACCCAAGATTGAAGAACATTGACATGAGAGGCGGTTGCTGCATAAGCGGACCCTTTTGTAGCAGAAGTAATACTACGAGCCTGAGAAGCACGGCGTGCACGATACTTAGCCAAGCCAACTTATGTGGATGTTGAGTAATACAATTCGCGGCAGTATGACCTATCTTCCTGCAAAGCTTACAAGATTTTGCAGAGCGACTTCTAGGTTCACTAAGCACTAAGCTGTTGAGAAGACAGAACTCTATGTGATACTGAGAGTGGCAGCTGGCGGATAACGGAGACGAGTCTCTTCAGTAATCAAATCAGATAATGCCTGTGCAATGCTTGTGCCATAGTCAGAGTAGAAGAGTTCTAGAAGAGTTTTGAAGCAACCGTGTACGATTTGACCCAAATTCTGCTCTGACTCTCATGACAAAGCCATAAATAAAAAACTTCTCAGAACACTTCGAGCACGCACCATGGAGATCAGTGGTCCCATTCAACCCATTCAACGTTCAAAAGTCGAGTAGTACTCATCAATGGGCACGTCGTTCTGTTCAATCACGTGAATTCGCTGCATAAGTGCGTGCAAGAGTGCACCTGAAATTGTAACAAATAGGACCACATTTCCTTGTTTGTCCGAAAAGAAAAAAGGCTCATAATTATGGACTGCTTGATACTGTGATGGCAACCATTACTTTCCCATTATTAATATGCCATATCCTTGCCATATCCTGATGTGAGCAACATTACTATTATCGCTCTTCCTTTTGGGTCCATCATTAGTCAAGTGGCTAGACCATAACCCCTCAACACGGTTTCAACCGAAGAAGCCCACTCCCGACCATCAAGAGTGATATTGATAGCAATTGCATGATGTTGCGACATGATTCGATGACGTAAGACACTAGGACAATAGGTATGCCTTCACGACATGCCAACAATACGCGAACGACGACGTATAGACAGACAGCGACGAGCCGCAATGAAATATGAATAAAGGGGCTGCGACGGGCAGCGTAGGGGCACTCGACAGACGAGTGACGACAAAAAACAACGACAGCCGGGACGTATTAGAGTACACGAACCCTAACCCCGACAAGTGACAGATCTGAAAAACGGCAAAACAGAGACCAAAACCTTCTGAATCACAAAACTAAAAGCACTAGCAGGGACAGAATTCTGAACCCACAGACGTGGCCAGAAAAAATTCCGGCGCTGGCGCGTGGGATGGCAGGCAGAAAATTCCGGCTTGCTTGCAGTTTACACACGCGGCTTCCGGTGACGATACTTGGCCAGAAAGTCGATCTCCAGGCGGCGAGTTGACTGGTGTGGGAGATGAGATCGGACAACATATATATATATATTTGTATGGTAGCAGAAAAAGTGCAAATTTACTTCCAAATGTCACGATGATAAACTTAATTATTGTATAGGAAGTTGGTTAGTTGAATTGTCTATGATGGCAAAAACTGGAAAAACCAGGGGTCTAATTGGGCCATTGGAATCTCTAACAGTGTTAGATCAGCATTGATTTATTTGCTTAAATAAGATTTTGAATCAATATTTATAAATCCCAGCTTCGGTACTCTTGTGATGAATAGAATATCTACCGAAAGGTAAGTTTACCTTTTAGCTTAGTATCTATGACAAATTATTTTGTCATAAAAAAGCTTGTTGTGCTTAAGATTGATTCATCTGATACCTTCTTGCCTCTTGGTTTCAGGTATATTAGACATCTTATCTGGAGATTTGCCTAAAGGTGTCCAAATTCAGACTAAACATCTAGAGGCTCTGATAGAACTACACAACATAACGGGGAGTTTTGCCAGGAATATTCAGCATTTGTTTTCCGATTCAGATCTTCATGTATTATTAGATACATTGAAGACAGTCTACCTGCCATACGAAACTTTTAAACAAAGGTAACCACACTTCTCATTTGAATCGTACTTTCATTTACCTAAATGGCATGGCTTTTTCCTTTGCATACTTCGTGGGCTGTGGGACATGTTCAGTTATTTTGTACTGTTTTACTTTGTTTCTTGGGTCCAATGGGTATATACTCGAGCATTGAATAAATGTATTACATGGTGAATGGAAGTAGTCCCTGCGACCCATTTTGATAGTCCCCAGCTTTTTGCATCCCTTCTCAAAGTATTAATCATGATGGGAAATATAATAGAAACATTGAATATTGTTTTTGATTTAGCAAACTACATGAAATGTTTTTCTCAATCATTGTGAAAATGAGAAACATTACTACGTTTTTCCGAACAGATGGAATATATGGTAAAATCTATCCTACTGAGCTTCCGGTAGAATGAATTTTATTTACTGCTTAATGTATACACTGTCTGTTTCATGCTTGACATAACTTGCTAATTCAGATATGGGCAAATGGAGCGTGGTGTGCTGTCTGGTGGTATTTCGGGCCTTGATCTCAGGGGAGTGAGTACTCGCATTATTGGCGTTCAGGGTGTTGAGCTCAGTGAAACAGTTAGAAGAATGGAAGAGTCCATCCCACAGGTCATCTTACTTCTTGAAGCCGCCACAGAGAGATGCATTAGCTTCACCGGTGGGTCCGAGGCGGATGAGCTAATTCTCGCTCTTGATGACGTGACCCTACAGTACATCTCCACCCTTCAGGGGAATCTAAAATCACTAAGAACAGTATGTGGAGTGGATTTAGATACCATTGGATCCAAGAAGGATGCAGGATTGGACAGGAAGGAAGCAGCTTCACCCGCGCGAAAGGTGGATGTTACATCGAATGAGGAGGAATGGTCTTTTGTTCAGGCGGCTTTGCAGATTCTCACAGTTGCGGATGGTTTGACGAGCCGGATTTCTGTTTTCGAGGCTTCCTTAAGGTCTACGCTTGCCCGATTGAGCACTAATTTGTCCCTCTCAGTGCACGGCTCGAGTTTTGATCAAAATCAATCTCGTGTAGCTGATGATGATGGACATGGGGAATTGTCTACTGCTGCTGGAAAGGCTTCTCTGGATATGGCAGCCATTCGGCTTGTTGATGTACCTGAAAAGGCCCGTAAACTTTTGAACCTCTTGGAACAGGTAATTTGTCATCAGAACGAGTTTGGTCATGTTTTGAGTTCACTATAGTAATTATATACAACCTATATAGCAAATAGTACCAAACTATCCTTTGAAAGAGAATTAATGAATCTACTCATATTGATGGCCTTTTCCATGCAAGAAACACTATTCTGAGATTTGCCTGTAAATGGATGTAATTTGTAATTTTCTTGATTCCTAATGTCTTTCACTTGGTTCCTTGCAGTCAAAAGATCCCCGGTTCCATGCCCTCCCAATGGCTTCTCAAAGAGTTGCGGCTTTTGCAGAGGCAGTGAATGAGCTAGTTTATGATGTGCTCATATTAAAAGTCAGGCAACACTTCCGTGATTTGTCTCGTCTGCCCGTATGGTCTTCTGTTGAAGAGCAAAGTGCCCACCGCATCCCAAGCTTTAGCGCCTATCCTCAGCCGTATGTGACTAACGTTGGTGAATACCTTCTTACTTTACCCCAGCAACTGGAGCCCCTTGCCGAGGGTATTTCAAGCAGTGATGCCAATGCTGAAGAGGCACAGTTCTTCGCAACCGAATGGATGTTCAAGGTAAATTCTCTTGCATAAACTCTCTTAATTTGGATGGTTAAATCCACCTTATACTAGTACAACCCATCTTGGTTGTAAAGTAACCCAGTGGTCATATTTGGTCCTATTTTACAAGATGCACTAGTTGAAGAGTCTCTTGTAAAAATTACAAACTACAAGTGGGTCCTTTCTAATACTTGATTGGGATGTGTAATTCTCAATGACAATTGGTTCCTTTTGCAATTGAGCCAAACCTCAGGGAGATTTGGGTAATTGTGCCACAATCAATTTACTGAAATGGAATGATAGGTTTCGTCTAACGTTTTATCATGTCGGTATAGGTGGCTGAGGGAGCTACTGCTCTTTATATTGAGCAGTTGCGTGGGATTCAAAAGGTTACGGACCGTGGGGCCCAACAGCTATCTGTGGATATCGAATATTTGAGCAACGTGCTCTCGGCTCTATCAATGCCCACCCCACTCGTTCTCGCCACCTTCCATACCTGTTTTTCGACCCCAACAGATCAGCTCAAGGACCTCGTGAATTCAGATTCTGGTAATCAGCTCGATCTTCCAACAACCAACCTTATATGTAAGATGCGTGGTGTAAGACTGGATTAAGGAATCCCACCAATGCTTGAATTCCATGATGAATATATTTAGGAAGAGCTTTACCTATATTCGTAATTGAGGATTCATGTGGGAAGTCGTTTGTGGTGTATGTGTGGATGAAATGCGCGTAGCTTTGTCTCTGAGCATAGAAAAAGAAAATCTGATGTATCTAAAGATCCCAACACGAAGGCTCATTTTTTTGTTTCTTTTTTTTTTCCTTGAAGGTGCGAAACGTTCGTGCTGCGCCGTGATTGTGATATGAAATATACTGTAGTTTGGCATTCTTTAAAACAATTTTCTTACGTATTCTTCTGCCGATAGGGTGTTTTATGAAGCATCTGCTCGGACCGGACAGTGTTCTGCTCCAAATACTAATAAATTTATCATAAGTGATTGTTACCTAAAATTTATCACAAGTGATTATCAAATATAGATTATTATATACTGTAAATATTATTCAATTACTGAACCAACATTTCATAATTCCCATTTGGCCATATTAGTTAATTTGCAATGATTTCTACATCCTTTGGTTTTGTGTGTGGACATGATTATCTGCAGATCGCAAGTTCAAGTCCATCAGAAACTTTTAACTTGAATCGAGATTGAAATACCCCACAAACTCTCACCCATGTACTTGATTGTCTAATAGCATAACGTCTGAAAGACTCACCATCTAAAACAAAAACATAAACTGCAGCTAATCAATCCCGACAGTAACAAACTCGACGTTGTCCGATTCACTTTCCGATCGAGGTAACAGAGATTGAAAACAATATAATGAGCACATCTATCTATTGTAAATGCTAAAGTCAAATTCTTTAACTCAATTAATCCAATTTTCAGTGAAAGAAATATTCTTCGGTATTTTTTTTACCCCCAATACTTCATCCTAAATTACGATAGTGTTTCCTCTTCCATCGGGAAATCCAAACCCAACTCCATTTAACGAATGAAGGTTGAAAGTCCGAACTATTACCATAGCTTTCTAACTAATGACTCATCTTATTTATGAATTAGTAATCCTTGTCGGAAATGTGATGTAGAACGTGATACGTACGGGAAGAACACGAGATAGTCTCTCGAATAAATTCACGTAATTATGATAAAATCTTAATAATAGCTGCTGAACCAATGCTACTCATATCTGTCTCTTGCCTAACAATTAACAAGATATTTATTTAAAAGTCCATGATAAATATGCCGTCCGCAAACAACATGCAATCGGTGAGATCTAATTACAAATATTTAGTAAGTTCATCAATTACTAATGCAAACAGATACGGATTCAACGTCGAACCTTGATGCAAACTAGTAGTGATAGGGAATGCACCCGATATCATTTCTAACACTCACAACATTATACCTCTATTAACAAAACATTATACCTCTATTAACAAGAGATTATTTACGGATACTTAGAGTGCTGATTTTTTAAGTTTTAACGTTCTCCGACTTGTTTATTAGATGTTTAAAGTAAGTTAAGTTATTGTATAATTAGTGTATATAACAAATCACTCCAATTTCATTATGTGCTACATAACCTATTTTATGTGTTTTTATATATTCTACAGTTGTGTTTAGTTAATGTTGAAATTTGAGTTAGTTTATAAAGGTTAGCAAAATTCTTTCAACTTTTCTTTTTCCAAGTTAATGATGTGTTTACCATAAAACCCTAAACCACCGACTTATCATTCCATGTGTTTGAGGAAAGCTTTAGGAGGGTGTATTTAATTAGGATTTTTAAATATTTTTTAAAACTTTAAAAATCTTGGTCTATTCAATTTAGATTTGTTAGGACTTTTAAAGACTTTTAAAAGTCTTGGTGTATTCAGTTAGGATTTTAAAAAGTCCTACAAAATCATGGTGTATTTAATTTTTTAGAGACTATGATTTATTAAGACTTTTTAAGATTTGGTGAGATTTCTAAACAAAAAACTTATACGAAATCCCACTTCAAATCTCACCTCTAGAGTAAGGATTTTACGGAATTTCTCCAAAATCTGAAAATCTTAACAAATCTCAAATCTTAAAAAGTCTTAAAATGTCACTTGAAATCTCAACTGAATAAGATTGAATTAATTTTGGACACAAACAATTTTACTAATTAGGGTTTATAAATACACACAATAAACCTAGGGGATTGACAACCTTTAATAACATTATTTTCTTTTAAAATTAACTCTGTTTTACTTCAGCAGTCGACTCTCATACGTTTCCCCATCGACTACAGCTATTCCATCCGTGACGCGTGTATGTATATGTGTATCTATAGACGCTTCAGTAGAGCTTCAATCGGAGAGTTGCTTCTCGGTTTTGATTAGAGTGATCGGAAGAAAAACTTGCGTTGCTGTTTGATTTTTTTTTTTTTTTTCCAATTTTCTCCAGATCTTCTGAGGGATGGCGGAGGAGATCAGCCACCAGTCGGGGTACGTCAAGCTGAGGAAAGAGCAAGCGCCGGCTGAGGACATTAATCCCGGCGAGCTTAATCTGCCCATTGATGTTCCTCAAGTATTCTCTCCTTCTCCCTCTTATTGATGACATTCTGCTGGCTTTTTTGATTACTCGTTGAATTTTCATTCCGAATTCCTAGTATGTGGGGATCTTTTTCTTTTCCTGAACGTATGTTGTGGTTTCATAAAAAAATCAGTGCGGTTAGGGATCAGATTTATCTGGTTGTGTTTTGATTTACTCGTTCGGCTTTGAATTTTTGTGGAGTGCTGGTTAGTAGTTCATGGTAGTGGGAGGAAGTGATTCCTTGATTTGTACTTTTTGTTGTGAAGACAATGGCACTATTGCACAAGCACTCGTCTTGCTTTGAGTGGTTCGATTCGTTTTGGCCAAGGACAATGTAAACGAGACATTGAGTTTGCATGGGGTCATGCTTTAATTTTCCGGATTCCGGCCTGGCTATCTTACTTTACAGTAAGAAGATATTATCAAGTTGGAATTCGATAAGTTGATGGCGATAAATCTAAATTGATTAATGCGGATGTTCGGATAATATTTGTATGTAGTTGGTGGTGAATCTTTATCAGAATACAAATTAGACTTTCATGGCTTGACTTGTTCGAAATATATTTTTGTGGGAATTTCACATTCCATTGGGAACTTAGATGTATTATCTGTGTGGCTTATCCTGCAGTTGCACGCCCCCAAGTGCCGTGAATGTGGACAGCCGCTACCAGAAAGCTATCAAGCTCCTGCAGATGAACCTTGGACTTCTGGGATTTTCGAATGTGCTCAAGATCCTGAAAGTTGTAAGATTACATTCTCGTGCGTGAAATTTCTGAAAATCAGTGTTGAGCAGGGCCATTATAGCAAGACAACAATCAGAAACCTTGAGTTCTTAATCTAAACTATAAGTTGGTATAACTTTTGGGAAGTTGTGTTGTACCTTGTCTGTGACAGAGGGAACGTGGAATTAATATGAAATTCATTTTTTATTATTACGACGGGATTTTCATGACTGGTCAATTTCGATTGTCAGGCCATTGGATGCCATTCTTCTTTTACCAAAGCCCTGGATTATATTAAGTTGTGATGTTTATTAAAATTATTGTACTATGTTATTGAATTTCATTATGTGGCTGTCATAGTGATATTGGGTGAAAGTTAATCTCCCTCTCTCTCCCCCTCTCTCCTCATCTCTCTCACACACAGCTCCCTCTCGAACACACTCTTGAAGTGCTCTAGTTTCTTAACTAAATTTTCTCTTAGTGCTTAGAAATTGATATACATGGACTTTCTAATGTTTCATTGATATACATGATCTCTTGTTTCGCTTTCTCGTCTTCTAAAACTTGAATTTTTTGAGTATCTCACCCATTTGCTCGGTCAAACTTCCCAGAATTCTTGATTTAATACTTTCAAAATCGGCAACAGGTCGGACAGGGTTATTCTGCCCATGTATCTTGTTTGGGCGCAATATTGAACAACTGAGAGAGGATACTCCATGGACTGGGCCGTGCATATGCCATGCTATTTTCGTAGAGGGTGGACTTGCCTTGGCTGTGGGGACAGCAGCCCTGAATGGTTTAATAGTCCCAGGGACTATAAGCCTTATAACCGAGGGATTGTTTTGCAGTTGGATGATGTGTGGAATGTATACTAGCTTAGTGAGACTGTCGCTGCAGAAGAAATATCATCTCAAGGTTACAACAAAACTCCCCTTTTTTTATTGTATACTAGTTTACTTTGTTTTTTATTGGATGCAGAACCTTGAAGGCTATAAGTTTGTTGCTGCAAATTTTGAGTTCATCCGATCTGTTTCTCAGTAGTTGACTTGGTTAAATTCTTCATACAAATTCATCTTAGATTATTTTATTTATGTCACATGTCTAATGTGTTTAAAATGTCTTATACTTGCTCTCACCACCCACAGTTTAGGTTAATTAACAAGAAAGTAAATAAAAGATAGGTTTTGGAAATTATAGATACCCCTCATCGCAGTTGATCTTGTCATACGTTTAAAGGTGATTGTTTCTTGCATAGAGAGGACAACCGACTAAATGTATTAATGTTGGGAGTTTCTGAAAAATGTTTTCATCCTATGAAGAGAAAAACTTTTAGATGGAATCAATCCCCAAGGGTTAACTTGTGAACTCTAAAATATTTTGCGTCCTTTTTTGTCGTTGGAAGCAATGTATTCTTTTTGCTGCTAATTTACTAGGTTTTATTTTTATTTTTTTTGTTTTCCTTGTAGAATTCGCCTTGCGATCCTCTCATGGTGCACTGCTGCTTGCACTGGTGTGCCATATGCCAAGAGCACAGGGAACTGAAAGGCCGCCTATCAGACGACACTCCAATGCCGATGACTGTAGTCAATCCGCCTCCTGTCCAAGAAATGAACGCCTCAGGTGACAGCCACCACTCGACACTACCACCAAGAGGAACGGCTAATGGGGGGGAACAAGTTAATGCAGAGATGCAGGCTTTGTAGAAAATCTCCATCAAGAGGAATATGCTATATAGTATATAGATTTGCTTAAAAATTCTTCATGTCCTTTCACTGTAGGAACGTAAGTCGTATAACCTTTTGAGTTTCCCTATGTGTACACGATGCAAGATCATGTTAGTCCTGACGAGACCACATATGAGTGCACACTTTTTTTGAGTTTTCTTCCCGAAAATAGCATATGTGATGTTTATGTGAACTTACGTTGAACGGTTGAAGGGCATATTGGAGTTGGTTTTTGGATACTAGTTTGAAACTTACATGTCTCTTTCTTTTTTTCCCCTTTCCATTTGGTTTAGTTTTCAATGCAAGGTACAACTGTGAAGGTAGCGAAAGGCCCCAATGTTGCTCATTTCAAGTTGTGTGTGGGCAATTTTGATTGCATCTACAATTTTTAACCCAACTCTTAAGATATTCTTCTACAGTGATTTAGAGATGGATTTACAATTGAATGAATTCTAATTGGATTGATCTGACCAGCAGACTCAATGAGAATGTGAGAATGTTTAAACATGACAGCTTAGTCAAACACAAGCAAGACAAAATATGGCACTTGCCGACACAAAGATGATGTTATTGAATCCAAACCTTCATCGAGCTGAGCGATAAACCCGCCTCATTAACTAAACGAGTTCGAGTTCAGCTCCTTTATTAATATGAATTGTTAACGAGTCGGGCTACATAAAATTAAATGAATTCATGTTTTTGAGTTTTACTCGGCTTGTTAATCAAATGATATCGAGTCCAGCTTCTTGTCGAACAAGTGTAACCGAACTCGTAATAAACCAAGACAAGCTTCTTTAGTGTAAAATTTATAAATGGAGCTGCTATATGTTAGAAATAGGTTGTCGATTTACACGGAAATCCTACGAATTGAAGTGTATTTTTTTAGTTCTTATAAATGAACTAAAAATAGAAAATTACAATAGAACTAAAATAAATTACAGTATGAAAAACGAAAAAATTATAGCCGAGACGAGTAAACTCTTTCCGTAAGACGAACACGCCTCGTGTAATGCTGACGGTTCAGGCATATCATCCCCAAAGATACAACGACAACTTTTTGAAAGTTGTAGCACACTAGTCTTACGAGCTCCGTCGAACTAGAACGGAGCCGATAACTGAGCATATAAAATTAGAACGACTAACAAAAATCTATTTTTTTTTTCTTTTTTATCTTAATTCTTCTTCCCTCATTTTACAAAAAAATTACATTCTCTTTGTTTCTTCTCTTCTCTATTGTTTCAAAATTTTCTCCCGTATTCATTTCTTTTGCAACTGAACATGTACATATACCGGGAGATGTGGGTGCAAGGAGGGATCATATGGCCAATTTGTAGTCAGTAAAACAATGTCATTTCTTCACGCAATCTCAAAAAATTCAATCAAAGATTGGTTTATGAGGAGCAGACGATTTGATCACGGTTTTGCTATGAAGCCAACAGTTGGCTCCATAGTGGAGCCAACCTTCTATATACAACAAGTAAATCTACCTTCTATGTTGTATATATAGAGAATAATGTTATTTGGCCAACTTGAGTGACAACTTAAATTACAACCTAAGTATAAATGTATAATCAAGAAATTATTAAATAATGCATTTACAATGGTGTAACATAAGTTGTAACTCAAGTTGGCTTTATAGCATTACTCATATATAGAAGGTTGGTTCTACTATGAAGTCAACTGTTGGCTTCATAGCAACTTTTAGCGAGAACTCGGTTTTTTGAATGTCAAAAAAGCGGGTTTAATCTTGTTTCGGGATATTTTATTAAAAGCGTGATCCTTCGCTTATGCGATTTCAATGCAAAAACTCACTGATTACTGGTTATTATCATCTTCCAACACGCCAGCATAGCAAGAGTCATCATCAATGGCGTTGGCGCCCAAACCCCTCATTCTCTCCTCCGCCTCCTCGTTAATCCCCAATTTTCAGCTCATACTAATTCCTAAACCTAGACCATTTTTCCCCAATTTTCAGTCTCGAAAGCCAGCCACGCTCACCGTTTGCAATTCCGCTCGCACCGTTAACCCGGATTCGTCTGTATCCGCGCCCGAACCCGATGGTTCCGGACCATCCGCCCCGACCCGGGGCGACATCTTTCTTCAGCACCAGCAGGCCGCGGCTGCCTCCGCCGCCGTCCTTGCGGAGATAAAGGAAAAGAAGAAGAAGAAGAAGAAGGATAAAGACAAAGCTGTGAAGGCTTCTTCTGCGGTTAATGTTCCTAGCTGCTATGGCTGCGGAGCCCCGCTGCAAACCTCTGAATCCGATGCTCCGGGTTATGTGGAGCTCGAAACATATAATTTGGTGAACTAACTTATTAATAAATTAGAATCAATGTCTCGGTTTGCCGTTTTGGTTGATTGCTTATTTGTGTGTGTGTGAATGCAGAAAAAGAAACATAGACAGCTCAGAAAAGTTTTATGTGGGAGGTGCAGACTTTTGTCACATGGGCATATGATCACTGCTGTTGGTGGAAATGGTGGGTATGCCGGTGGGAAACAATTTGTTACCGCAGAAGAGCTTCGCGAAAAGCTGTCGCATTTACGCAATGAAAAAGCTCTAATTGTGAAATTGGTATGCTACCTTATGTTTGTGAAGTTGGGAGCTAGTTTAAATAGTTTACAGTTTTTTTATCTTGTTATTTACGAGCTTCAGATTCCTATGTTCCACTTTGGCTATTGCAATTTATTTTGGCAAATTTTATATTTAGGTTGATATAGTGGACTTCAATGGCAGTTTTTTGTCTCGTATCCGTGACCTTGCTGGTGCAAATCCCATAATACTAGTGATAACTAAGGTAATGGAGATATGGTTCCACAAATAATTTCTGTTTTGATGTTACCCTTTGATTAAGTTTAGATTTTAGAATGATTAGTGTATCAAGAACATTGATCTCACCTGCTGGATTTTTAGGTTGACCTTCTCCCAAAAGGAACTGATCTTAATTGTGTTGGTGATTGGGTGGTGGAGGCCACAGTGAAGAAGAAATTGAAGTGAGTTATTTTTTATTGGCGATTGCTTTATAGGGACATGTCAACTTAATGGTGTACATTCTTGTTTTAATTTTTCGTTTGGTGATAATACCAATACGTCCTTTTCAATCCATAGGAATTATGATCTAGCAATGGCTGTCGAAAGTAGCCTTCGCAATATGTTACTGCTAGGTAGCAAATCCAGATTAAAACTCCGTTCTAATGCATTATGTTTATGGGAAGCATGCTGTGTCAAATGCTGGTTAAACTATAAGGTATAAATGGTGTCTAGAAGTTTATCTATGTTAGCTAGATACCTAACTAGTGTAGTGTTCTTGAAGTTCATTTGGAGATCTGTAGTTCTCATATGTTCTTGTTGGTACTAACTCACCATGCAGCGTAATAAGTGTACACTTGACGAGTTCAAAGTCTCTGGTGGGCATTGCTGGAGTGATCTCAGAAATTCAGAGAGAGAAGAAGGTGTGTCCCACCATATATTAGCTACCATTGACATCTCATTTACGCCCTGAATGGAAATATCATCCTATCAACTGATATTTTATGAAAACAACAAACAAGCATTTATGTGGTATTGTTTGAAGAAGTTTATCTTTTTCTCTTCCCATCCTATGAAAATTATCATCACTGATTTTATTTACCTTTTTATGGTTATTTCAACAATGAAACCACTTGATGCTGGATATCATGTTCAGGGAAGGGATGTCTACATCTTGGTAAGTGTACTCTCTAGAACACAAATTAAGTTCAGTTTATTATTCTATTCTATTTTATTAATTTGTATCTTACTTTTCTGCACTTGGGTAATCATAGTATTCTTTGAATTAACAGGGATCAGCTAATGTGGGAAAATCTGCTTTCATTAATGCTCTACTCAGTAAGCTAACTAATTTTCTGTCCTCTCTTTATTGTTGCAGCAATAATCTATATGGATACTTGGTTCAATGATTCTTCAACTTGTAATTGATTTTTCTTCATTGAACTCCATGAATCACTCCTTTATTTGAGATGATTACATTTCACGGCACTTCTGAATGGCAGTTAAAACCGATCAGTATTCTTTCTACTCTTGCATGTATATTTGGCTGAATCTGAATTTATATATATATATATATATATATATATATATATATATATATATATATATGTATATATTTTTCCTGTTTTGCTTTGTGGGATTTCACCCATTACCTACTTTGTCACATTATAATGTTTTTGGTTTCTCGACAGAAATGCTATCTTACAAGGATCCAGTGGCTGCTGCCGCAAGAAAGTATAAACCAATTCAATCTGCCGTTCCAGGAACTACATTGGGCCCAATCCAGATAGAAGCTTTCTTGGGTGGAGGAGTAAGCACTAAGTGTCAAATCATAAATTTATGAAAGCTGGTGTCGATTGTTTGACGAATGCCGGTTTTTATTGCAGTTTTTACTTTTTATGTGCTTTATGAATTATGATGTGCCTCTCCTTTAACCAAAGGAGCAACCTGTTCCTCCCCTGTTCATTATATAATTGAATAGTTGTTTTAGTTTACTGGTTCAAATACACGTTCACATATTTGTTTATGATACAACCTCAACAACTATTATATTCAGGATACTTAATAATGAGTTATATGCACTACAAATGTGTGGCTTTCCCCTACAGTTAAGTCAATCTAACTATTAGAGTCATGTGCTTATGAGTGCCAGCCAAGTTCTCAGAATATGTAAGAGTTCTTAACATGAAACTTCAGAGGATGCACCAGGACTTGTGTACTACAGAAGTTTGAAGATGATGCCATTCATCTGTTTTTGTAGGCCAAGTAGCTGAACTTTCCATGATTGAAAATTGTTGATTTAAGTGTCTTGTATCTACTTCTTTCTCTTGATAATCTTTCGACTTAACGAATAATAATCTTCTGTCGTAGAAATTGTTCGACACGCCTGGAGTCCATCTTCACCATAGGCAAGCTGCTGTGATTAATTCAGAGGATCTACCTGCTCTAGCACCCCAAAGTCGGCTTCGAGGTCAATCATTCCCTGTATGTGGTTTTCCTGTTCTTCTTTATTTATAAGCATATTAAGGATTACATTCCTTGTTTAACTAAATATTTCTTACCGTTGTTCACGTGGTTAAACCAGAGCCCTAATTTAGTTCTAGACAATCTGTTGGTCGACCGGATCAGATCAAATGGCTTGGTTGGTTTCTCTATTTTCTGGGGAGGTCTTGTCCGAATAGACATCACCAAGGTTTTTTTTACTTCATAATCATCGTTTTGTGATATTAAAGGATATAATAATGTTTTGCTCATTTATACTGTATATTGTTTGCGTTGAAAATTTTTTTTTCCTTTCATCAGGTTCTCCCAGAAACATGTTTGACGTTTTATGGACCCAAGGCCCTGCAGCTTCATTTGGTTCCTACTGAAAAGGCTGATGAATTTTACCAGGTTCTCTTCCTCATCTTTTGACGAGCCTGCTTCATTGGCTGTTGTATGGGAGATATTATTCGAGCTTAATTGGCAGTGGTAATTTGCATTTGTTTGGAACTGAACTTTTTAGTATGTTTTGCAGATTGGAGTAGGGACCCTCTTGACACCTCCATCTGGAAAGCAGAAGGCAGACAGCTGGATGGGTCTTGAAACAAAGCGTGAGTTGCAATTGAGATATAACAATATCGAGAGGTAGGCGAAATCTAGGATACCCTTCTTTTTTTTTTTTTTCCCCAATTTTTAGAAATAATTACTGGAAGAACCCTTGATATTTGACCTGGAAAAAACAGCTAGCTTTAAAACAGTAAAACTACATAAAACCTGCTAACGCTGAGGTTTCATTCGATGTCAATAAGGATTAAGGGCCAACTGTAGTATGCCTGGTAAATGAGGAAGTGTGTTTTTGAAAATGCCTTTTGCTCGTGAAACAGGTAAAATTTAGACGAAATGAAATCGCAGTGGGTTAGTTAATTTTGTGATTTTAAAATTAAGTGCTCCTTCTAATTGCTAGAAATTTTCGCTTTTAATTTTCTTTGAATTTCCCCTCCTTAATTTGCTTCGTTTTACATCTTAGGCCGGCTTGTGATGTAGCCATATCAGGGCTAGGGTGGATATCAGTCGAACCATTTTCTCAACCTTGTAAATCATCCGAGCCTCGTTCAGAAGAAATTAGTGGCGAGATAGCTTTGACTGTCCATGTGCCAAAGCCCGTAGAGATTTTTATTCGGCCTCCTTTACCTGTAGGTGGTGCCGGGGGGCAATGGTATCAGTACAGGGAGCTGACTGAAATCGAACAAGAAACCAGACCAAAATGGTTTTTCTGAATATATATAGGTTATAAAGTGATTTTCGAGTAGATAGCATTACATTTTCAGGTGCATGGCAACAAGAAAATACACGCGAAAGTTCGTAAGCGAGATGAATGCGCGCGTTTAATTAGATTTTTATTATTTTTGTTCCCCTCCTTTTTTTAGGCTTTTAGCTATCCAAGATTTGAAAGAGAGAGAGGTTCATCTCTGTACCCCTTTTGTTAGACTTTTGTTGTATGGGAGCTCGCATGTTTACAGTGTTTTTGTTAGAATTGCATATAAACAGCTTGAATTTGACAGTACAATCCAAACACTAAAATTGAAGCAAAATCGAAATTGCTCCAATTTGGGAAAAATAACACTACAATAATGAGAAAAACCTTCACATAACAAAGCAAAAAAAATAAAAATAAAAAAAATAACTAAAAAGTATAATAAAGGCGTCCGCATCTCTAGAAAAAACTACCACATTTAAAATCTCGGGAAAATATCTACTTGTATTGATTTCTGAATTTTTATTTTACATTAAAAAAATCGATCCGAACTGCATTGAATTACACACTTCGACTCGGTTTTGCTCATCCCTACAATGAGTATGGATATGTGAGTTAAAAATTATAAAGAAAAAATAACTATTTTTCAAATTATGAATATATATATGAAAGAAGATGCAATGATTAAAGTTGATGTATATAAAAAATAATAAAATAATAAATATATAAATGATTGAATAATATTTTTATTAAAAAACTCAACTTTATAATTTATTTTTATTATTTATTTATATTAATAAAATTATGGATAAAAAATGAATTTTAAAATACATTTTTCATTTGAAAAAGGTAGCAAAATCCATTTCCCGCTCCACAAAACTGATTCAAACCTCACTATCCAAAAACGAAGGCGCTCTTCAACAAGCAAAACCTGAAACTCTCTGCACTATCCGAAGCTTTCTCAGCCTAATCTCCAAAACCCGCATAGGGTTTTGATCGCTAAAACCCTACCCATCATCATCTTCCCCAAATTCCGACCAATTACAGTATTCCTGAATCCCTTACAAGAACAGAAAAATGCACATAAAAGAAATCTGCTTGGAGGGTTTCAAATCCTATGCCACAAGGACGGTGGTTCCGGGTTTCGATCCGTGTTTCAACGCCATCACCGGTCTAAACGGGTCGGGCAAATCGAATATTCTTGATTCGATTTGTTTTGTCTTGGGTATCACCAATTTGCAGCAGGTTAGGGCTTCCAATTTGCAGGAGCTGGTGTACAAGCAAGGCCAAGCTGGAATCACGAAAGCTACTGTGTCGGTTGTTTTTGATAACTCGGACAGGAGACGGAGCCCGCTTGGGTATGAAGATTCTTCTGAAATCACGGTGACTCGCCAGGTACTTTTATTCACTAGTAGTGAATGATGGGTACTGGTGTTTGTAGGAATCCCATGTGTTTGGGTGGGTTGCTGGTGCTAAAGAGTTTTTGCTACTATTATGGAAACTTTGCAACTCTTTTCTGAATTTTTGTGGGACGCTTGAAACTTGCAGCTTCATGAATTTGTGGTTCTTTTTGTATCATAATTTTTGAACATACAGGTGAGTGGTGCCAAACTTTCACCATTTTGCCTTTACATGTAACACAAATGTTGCATAGAATAAAAGAAGAAAATGATAAAATTTAAATTTAATCCAGTCGTTGTCCAAAGAACTTTGTAGTGTGATGACATGAAGATCGATGGTGCTCAACACTTGGGTCCTTCATGTTGTAGTTCAGGTCATGTTAAAAGTAGTTGTTTATGATCAACAGCGCATACATTAGTAATAAGTGACCTTGATAAGTGAATTTTTTGTGACCTTCGACACTGTCGGATTTTTTCTTTTTTTTTTTCTTTTTTTTGTACCATTTGGACTGCTACAGCTGTTTACTTGCATGAATATGCTCATCTAGATGTAAGCCTATAATTTCGTTTAGAACTAATCTCATGCTCTGGTAAGTCACATTCACCCTAAGTTGAAAATCTTATTGCATTGTACAGATTGTAGTTGGTGGAAGGAACAAGTATCTGATAAATGGGCATCTCGCTCAGCCTAGTCGAGTTCAGAATCTGTTCCACTCGGTGCAGCTGAATGTGAATAATCCACATTTTCTCATAATGCAAGGTCGTATTACCAAGGTGTTGAATATGAAACCTCCTGAAATTTTGTCTATGCTCGAAGAAGCTGCTGGGACAAGAATGTATGAAACAAAAAAAGAAGCTGCTCTGAGAACACTTGACAAGAAACAAAGCAAGGTAGAAGAGATTGACAAGCTTCTTCACCAGGAAATACTCCCAGCTTTGGAAAAACTGAGGAAGGAGAGGATGCAGTACATGCAGTGGGCTAATGGGAATGCAGAGTTGGATAGACTCAAGAGATTCTGTATTGCTTATGAGTACACGCAAGCAGAAAACACTAGGGACAATGCAGTTCAGTGTGTTCAAGATGTAAGAAATAAGATTTTGGAGATTGATGGTACTGTTGGAAAGATGCATGCAGAAATGCAGGAAATGGAGAAACAGGTATCAGATTTGACTGCTGAAAAGGAAGCAAGTATGGGTAGTGAAATAAAATTGTTATCAGATAAAGTTGATGCTCTTTCACGGGATCTGGTGAAGGAGACTTCGGTGCTGAAAAATCAAGAAGATAATCTTATGACTGAGAAAGGAAATGCAGTCAAGGTACATATGTTTGTATATATTTGCTCTCTATATTTTTCCTGGCAGGTATCAAAGTTTGTTTTTATAACTTCACTTACTCGCTTCAGATAATATATACAGATTGAGAGGAGCCTTGAAGAATCAAAGCTAGCTGTTGAAAAAATGGCCAATGCAGTAAAAACTGCTGAAGCAGGTGCTGCTGATCTTAAGAAAAGTGCTGCAGAGCTCTCAAAGAGCCTGGATGAGCATGAAAAGGAGTATCAAGTAAGTATTTAGAAAGTCAGGCGGGATCACTGTTAGACTAAAGAATGTTGTTTTTATTTCTGTTCGTTTGGTTATCTTGCTATTATATATTAATGTATTTGTGCAGGGTGTAGTAGCAGGTAAGAGCAGTGGAAACGAAGAGAAATGCCTTGAAGATCAATTGGGCGATGCAAAGGTAGCTGTTGGAAGGGCAGAGACGGAATTAAAGCAGTTGCAGACAAAAATAGGTCACTCTGAGAAAGAACTAAAGGAGAAAACAGCTCAATTTTTATCAACACGTGAAAAAGCTGCTGCCATAGTGAATGAGCTCGATGTCAAAAGGAAAGAGGTTGAGAAGGTTAAAAAAGCATTGGAATCTCTTTCTTACAATGAAAATGTTATGGAAGCATTGCAAAAGGTATGCCTTTCTTTTGTGCCATGTCACAATCTCTATAAAAGGTATTCATATTCATCTCAACTTCATACGAAAATTGATGTCAGGATCGCACGATAGAGTTGGAGTTGGTGCAGAAATTTAAAGATGAAGCACGGACATTATCCTCACACGTGGCTAACGTAGAATTCATTTACAGTGATCCAGAAAAGAATTTTGACAGGTCAAGGGTGAAAGGCGTGGTGGCAAAACTAATTAAAGTGAAGGATAGCTCTACAATGCTTGCCTTAGAGGTCAGCAGTGCAATTTCTTGATGCTTATTGTTCATATTTATCACTTGATACAATTTCCTCTATTGCGTTATCAAGGTCTTTTGGTATATGTTCTGAGTTCTGATATCTGCAGGTTGCTGCTGGTGGAAAGCTGTTCAATGTAGTTGTAGATACAGAAGACACCGCAAAGCTGCTTATCGAGAAGGGTGGTCTGCGTAGGAGGGTGACGACCATTCCACTAAACAAGATTCAAAGGCACCCTGTCCCCGAGAGAATACAAAATGCTGCCACAAAGTTGGTCAGATTACAACCATCCATCTGAGAATTTTTGTAGATCAATTGTTATGTTGAATGTTGTAATAATGTTTTTTGCCGTCATCAGGTTGGCAAAGGGAATGCTGAGGTTGCACTTTCTCTGGTTGGATATGATAAAGAATTGCAAGTATGCTTCCACCCACACAATCTGATATTTGATCAATTCTTGTACATTCTCTTCTTTGTTTGCTATTTTGGTATTGCTCCAGTTATTTTTTTTCCTCACAGACCATAAACATTAGCATCTTTTCTGTTGATCATTCTCAAAATTCTGTCACTGTGTTGTGTTACTATATAAAATAAACACATAATTCGATTGGACACTTCCAAATTCTAGGTTAAATCTTGATTCTGCTTCTTTTTCTTTATATTTAAAGTACAAACCGCTGTAAGCTATAACCTTTTGAGACATAATTTATAAGTGCTATGCAGAGTGCAATGGAGTATGTGTTTGGATCGACATTTGTCTGCAGAACAAGAGATGCTGCTAGAGAGGTATGTTTATATGCCAAGATATTTATATGAGCTGAAATGAAACTGTTAAGGTGGATATCTGAGTAGTGGCATTTTATAGAGTAAGAGTGAGGCACATCTTTTAGATCAAGTAATCGTCGCTTTAAGAAAAAAATTGTGAAAATAAGGAAAAACCATCGAAGTCATCAGTTAAGGAAAATATATGATAAACGCACAACATGTCATTACTCTCAGCCTTGAGTCTTTGTTCTTCAACTTACAAATTTGTCTTCGACCAATATAGTTTAAGGATTTTTTAGTTGCTTTCTTTATTTTCTACATGTTTGAATTCTGTCATGGGCAGGTATTTGTGGAACTAATACTATTAATTTTAACTGCTGTTTTCTTCCTTTCATTCACTTTTTTCACTATAATAATTGTAATAATTGGGGTGCACAGGTCACTTTTAATAGAGAAACAGGAACACCAAGCGTTAGCTTGGAAGGTGATATTTTCCAACCCAGTGGACTTTTGACTGGTGGTAGTCGTAAGTAAGTGATAATGGCTCCTTCCTAAAGTTGAAGTTTGATGGGAATCATCAATATTTTAAATACATTACTGGCATGCATTCTCTTATGTACATTGTTGCAGACATTCTCTTATATATTTTTTTTTTTCTTTTCCGTTGGTGGATTAACAATATATACACATATTAAAACTCTACAAATAATTTTAGAGGTGGAGGTGACCTGTTGAGACAGCTACATGCTTTGGCAGAAGCTGAATCAAAAGTTTCTTTTCATCAGAAGCGGTTGTCAGAAATTGATGCCAAGGTTATCTTGATTCTCTAACTCTAATTTGATTTCGTTTCAAATGTAAGAACTAATTAAACTTGATATGCCCATAGATGGAAAAGTGACTTTTATTAGAACTCAGGCTAAATTTATCATTCAATTTGGATGTCATTCCAGGGAGGCTATTTGATTAGTCTTAATATTTATGTTGATGCTATTTCATAAGATCCTTAAACTTTTACCTGTTGCATCAGATTAACGAGCTCCTGCCTCATCAAAGAAAGTTCAATGACCTTAAAACGCAGCTGGAGCTCAAATCACATGATCTTTCACTTACAGAAAACCGAGCTAAGCAAAATGAGCATCATAAGGTTGAGGCTTATTTCTTTACCATGCAAAATTTCAAACATTTTGTAGTAGTTTCCATTGTCAAGCCACACATCCTTCATTCAGAATTCCAGATTGTCTGATACATGATATTAATTCCAATCACATCAACATTTTCGTACGTGATGTAGCTAAGCGAGTTGGTTAAGAAGATCGAGGAGGAGCTTGGAGAAGCAAAATCGGCCATAAAAAAGAAGCAGCTTCTGTATGAAGAATGTGTAGCTAAAGTATCAGATCTTGAAAAGTCAATCGATGACCATGCTGGAAATAGAGAAAGTAGACTTAAGGATTTAGAGAAAAAGATAAAGGCGATTAAAAATCAAATGCAGGCTGCTTCTAAGAACCTCAAGGTATATTTTGTTGAAATGTATAACTGAATGACTGGGGAAAGACATCTAATCTAATTTATTTTAGACACTTACCATAACACCAGCTCCCTATTTTCTACTTATCCAAATATATTTGTAATGATTATCAGAATTTTCCTAGCATGATAGGTCAAATTGCTAGAGACTGAGCAAAACCATCAGAATTAATTAATGTTTATTTGATCGTCAAAATACTAATTGTTTAGTATTAACTATTAAATCCATTATTCATGTTACTTGTGCACTTAGGGCCATGAGAATGAACGGGAGAGGCTTATAATGGAGATGGAAGAAGCTCAAAAGGAACAGGCTACGCTGGAGAGCCAATTAGCTGCTTTGAAGAAGCAAATTCATGATCTCAATACAGAAATAGATTCTCAGAAAGCCAAGGTACATTCAAATTCAGTATACTACCATACGAGTCTCTAAATGAGCCCTTTGTTGGAAAATTCGGATTGATCAAATGTTTTCATTATAGGTGTCTTCTACAAAACAGGATCATGATGAGGCCCAATCCGAGCTTAATATTGCCCGAAGGAAGATGCAGGAATGCGATACACAGATTTCTGGTATTGCCAAGAAGCAGCATGGGATTCAACACATGATTAGTGAGGCCAACTTAGAGAGAAAAAGAATGGAAAATGAAGTAATTTGTTTTGTTTAGTTTCTTGAATCAGCTCCTAGATAGTCAGTATACTTATCTCATTCTTCTTGGCTGTAGGTCAAACGGATGGAGATGGATCAGAAAGATTGCTCATCAAAGGTAGAGAAATTGATAGAGAAGCATGCTTGGATTGCATCGGAAAAGCAACTTTTTGGTCGAGCTGGGTCTGATTATTATTTTAATTCTAATGATCCTCACAAGGCCAGAGAAGACTTTGAGAAACTCCAAGCTGCCCAATCTGGGTGAGATAATTGTGCTTTATATTATATTTAAGCTGCATTTCTGCAAATCAAATGGTAAAAAAAAAAAATGCTCTGATATCTTTCTCCATATTTTATATTCTAGCCTAGAGAAAAGGGTGAATAAGAAGGTAATGGCCATGTTTGAGAAAGCTGAGGAAGAGTACAATGACTTAATATCTAAGAAGAGCATTATCGAGGTTAGCTATTTAAAAAAAAAAAATGTTGTTTGTTTCCGATTTTACTGTTGTTTATGTAGATATCTCCATGTAGAATGACAAGTCCAAAATCAAAATGGTAATTGAAGAACTTGATGAGAAGAAGAAGGAGACACTGAAAGTCACGTGGGCCAAAGTTAACAAGTTAGTATAATAATATCCATTTTTCTTTTAAATTGCTGACCGTAATATGTATCTGTCCTTTGCTCAACTTTTATTATGATCATACTTTCTAGCCTGATACTTACAAGTTGTTTCCTTTTCCAGAGATTTTGGATCTATATTTTCTACTCTTTTGCCTGGCACAATGGCCAAATTGGAACCTCCTGAAGGAGGCAGCTTTCTTGATGGTTTGGAGGTTCGTGTTGCTTTCGGGAGTGTGTGGAAACAATCCTTGTCTGAACTTAGTGGAGGACAAAGATCCCTACTTGCACTTTCTTTGATTTTGGCTTTGCTTCTTTTCAAACCAGCTCCACTGTATATACTGGATGAGGTGCGTAATGTTCGTATCTTTTGTTGTTTTTTGTTATACATGGTTAAATTATCATCTTAAATTTCAAACGAGTCAAATTCTGTAAAAAGATTGGTAATTTTCCATGCCTTGCCAATGTATTGGTTGGAATATGTTTGACCTATGCTCTTGTGATTAGTTCTTTAAATTTTAATTCAATACAACTCAGACAATATACTTAAATTCAATCATTGAACTATTTTATTCTGAATGTCAGGTTGATGCGGCTCTTGATCTGAGTCACACTCAGAACATTGGAAGGATGATCAAGACTCACTTTCCACAATCCCAAGTTAGTTTCTTGCATCACTTAGAATTCGAATTCCATAACAGATATGCTGATGCAAAACCAGGCACTTATTAATACTGGGGAGCATTAAATATCAGTTCAAATATGTTATCACCATATTAGTCTGTTTGTGCATCCTTTTATCAATTTAATAACACTATTCATCTCATTCCATCTACTTTTTTCATTATTATTTACCTACTGCACTTTTTGTCCTTTTTCTTTTGCAGTTTATTGTCGTTTCGTTGAAGGAAGGCATGTTTAACAATGCCAATGTTCTTTTCAGAACAAAATTTGTGGATGGTGTCTCTACTGTTCAAAGAACTGTGACAAATAAACAAAGCAAGTGATTAGATTATTTATTACCTGGTAAGCATTACACAGAACTCCATAATAGTTATAGAACTTACCGTAAAACAATGGAACTACTCTTGAGTTTGAGCTGGATATTCATATGGACGTCTCATAAATCATAATTAATCGGAAATGTAGTTCTCTATTCCCCAGCTCCTTATAGTACATACTATATCACAAATATTCAATGGCAATCCAATAAAATTAAGCAGATGTGCTTGACATAAGAACCATCTTAAAGTGATATTTGTGATAAAGCACCTATTCTGTAAACTTACTCTTTTATTTGTGGGTTGACATTATGCATTTGTGTTTGGTTATAGCTTTTTTTTTTTTTTTCCAGATTGTTCGTACCCATGATGAAGCTGCTGTCTGAGGAGTTATAGGGATCCATAGGAGGCTATGTGACACCGGAAAGTTATGTTATATATTAGGCTCCTTTGCTATTATAAAATCCATTGCCAAATTTTATTGTATATAACAAGAAGCCAATGCACCTCTTGAGGATAAAATTATTACCTTTTGTTGTAAAATAGTTTATATTTGTCAGCAGGTGCTTGTAAAAAGGCTTGGTTGCTCCATATGTTAACTCTATTCTTCCCTGTTGTCTTTGCTGATGATTTGATTTGTTAGCTTAGATTATGGAGACAACTGACCTGTAATCTGTAGAATGTTATTATTATTTATGATTTTGATTGTGTTTGTGTTTGTGTTTTAAAAATAATAATTCATTTTCCAACCCAAGGTTCCCAAAATTAGACTGTGTTTTCGTAGCCTTGGCCGAAGAACATCGAATTTCAGGCCTAATACAGTGAGACAGGCTTCTTGAGGCATTTGTATTGGAATTTAGAGACCCTATTCATAGAACAATAAAACTCCAAATGAAAATTAAATATTTTTTTTTCATAGCAATGATCAATTGATTATTCACATTTCATATGACTCGTGATAGACTGGAATATCTGCACAATGTAATGACGGCATAAAAAATGGCACCTGCTGCATCAATAGGCATGATTTTCCCAAAAAAAATGGACACTAAAACACAGTGACCAAAGAAAAAAAAGTAGAAAAATGGTGATTCAGAGCCACCCAAAACTAGAACTATTACAAATCATACCATCAAGTTCATCATCCAGAATAAGCTGTAAATTATATAACTCTCTTGTTATACATAGGCAAAGACAAATTTTCCAAATTACAGATACAAATTTTCCATCTACAGTGTTTTAAATTCCATAACTAAGTGAGTAGACAAATTCTATGCACCAGGCAAAGATTTCCAGTCAGCAGACTTCTTGAAAAACTTACTACCCCTCTTTCCCATGTTGCTCCCAACAAGATTGGCCGAAAGCTGAAATTTCGTATCGGGTTTCCATTTCAAATCTTTGAGAGCAGAAAACACAGCAGAGAGTGCAGGGGTCACTTCGCTGTCTTTTATATTGTTGCATGAATATATTTTGAGGCTCTCCAGCTCATCCCAATTAGTTATTACGGATTCCAGGCCGTGTGTCGTCAGAATCGAGCAGCCTTCCAAAGACAAATATCTCACTTTCCTGCTTTTCGATTTTTGCCACACACAAAAGTTAGAAAATAATCAAGTTTCCATTTTTCTGAAGCCTGATGACTGAAAGGACAGTTCAAAATTGTAAATCCTTAACAAATCCAAGCATGTTAAATGAACTTGTTTCAATGGACTTGACCATCCTTATCATCAACATCAACCCGAAACTCAAGACAATCATAAATTCTACGCAAATAATCAAGACGACGAGATGGATGCACAGTCGAGCAAAGTGAACATATTATCACAATTCAACGAACATCTAAAAGCCTTAGCAATTCGAAAGCCAGAACACATAATAAGGCATGGAAAAAAGAAAATAAAATAAAACAAAATTAATTACCTCAAGATGCTTGAAGCTGTGAACATATCATCATTCAATCCCCAACAGCTCTTAATAACTAATATTCTCACAGTACAGCACACTCGAAACAAAGCCCTCAAACTCCTCTTATCCCTTAACTGACATTTTTCCAAATGCAGGCTCTCAACGGCCGGACAAGATCCCAAATCCCCATCGACTTCATCGCCACCATCTATCACCTTACACAAAACAAACCTCAAAATTTTCAAATTCTCACAGTACGAAAGGGCCGGCAACCACCCGTCCTCCATTTTATGGTCCCGAAAAGTTAGCTCCTCAAGCATTTGACAGCACTGCCCGATAGCTTTAATCCCCTCATAGCCCCCCTTACACCCGGTCAACTCTAGCTTCACAAGACTCTTGCACCCTTGTGCTAAAATAGTCAACCCAACATCCGAAACTAACGAATCGTACAATCCCTCTACAATCCCGGTCAATCTTAGGATCTGTAATTTCTGACAAGCAGCTATCCCGCGCAAGACGAGGTCACTGCACTTGAGCAACTCGAGTTCTTGCAATGCAGGACAATTTTCGGCCAAGCTCAAGAGACCCATTTCACTGCAGTTAAGCACAACCAATTTCCTCAAATTCGGACACCCATCGGCTAAAACCCTTAAACCCCTATCGACCTCATCGGCATCCAACACGAAATTCTCGTTAAAAATCCAATCTTTACCCTCGGCAGGAGAGCCCACATGGAAAGACACGTTTTTGTTGCGAGTGCAAAAGATACCAGAATTTCTAGGGGAAACAAAACACCCATTAACCAAATCAACACGAGCAAGGTTAGGGAGTCTCACAAACAACCGACCTGACAACAGAAAATCCCAGTCAAGAAGCTTAATTGACCTCACAAGCCTGCCTTGCAGATGGAGCCACCTTTTCGAAACAAGGGAATTGGCACCCCTTTGAGATCTTGGGAGCTTGGACAGGATTTTGAGCAAGATTTCATCTGAAACAAGTGAGGTTTTATCAGTAACGTGATCTGTTCGCGTGAAATCTTGGGTTTTGCTGCTTGTGGGCTGTGCTGATAGAGGTGGCGGCTGGATTTGGTTTAAGGGTTGGGTTTGTTTGGGTGTTAAGGAGTTGAGGCGCATTGTGTAGAGAACATGGTTTAAGGAATTCTTGGTTTTGAGCCAATTGGAGTTTTGGTTTTCTTTGTCAGCTGAAAATGGAGATGATCTGCTTTTGCACTTCAACTCCATCTTCTTCTTCTACTTGTATTATCTCTACTTTTCAGCTTCTAAAATGGTGTTAGAAGACACTTTTTTTTCCCAATACATATGTGTGAATTGAAGAAAAAAAGAACTTCATTTCCTGTCACTCATTTGTTTTTTTTGAATGCAAGAGGCAAATTATTCAAGAATCAAGATTCTCAGATCTCTTTCCTATTTTCCGCCATGGAAACAGACTGAAAATTTTTCTTTTCCTTTGTCTATCTCTCCCCGTGTGTGTGTGTGTGTGTGTGTGTGTGTGTGTGTGTGTGTGTGCGTG